GGTCGCTAGCTAAAACCTAATTGACTCAAATCGAGTCGGATACTTACAACTTAACATATTTCTACAGCCTATTAGAAATTACTTTCATCATACAAGGGGGTTCGCGAGGTGGCAGGTGGTCGTGATATTGGTATGGTCCCTCGTTGTTATCGGGGTAGAATACGCATGTGTCGAGTTTGCATTGTTGAATAGGGTGTTCTCCAGGAGGTGGAGTGTACAGTTCTAGAACAGAGTCCTCGTCCTGGTTATTATAGCCCATAAACTATTGGGGCATATGAAACATAGTTCATAAGGAATTGAGTTCATTCGTAAATATTTAGGAAATGACGTGAAAAACCGCTGTCATAAACCGAGAATGACCGGACATCTTAACATTTACGAATAAACTAGAGCTTCCAAGCGGTCCTAATGGCGAATGATAGGTAAAACTGTCCGCACCAGACAGAAAATGGACGACTGCTGACCGGAATGAAAGTAAAATTACTGGACACAGGCTACCAGTCAACAGCCAAGAGTTTCAATTGATTAATACAATAGATGTCACTGACAGCTTGAATTGAATAAAGTAATCATATGCATGCCAGTCACTGGCACCAATCTTGAACCTCAGTAGAAGCAAACGCGGACAAATATAAGTGATATGGGTGCTGAGAGCTTCATGCTGTCCATATATAGTAGAGAGAGAGAAGATTGAAAGCTCGTATCAAACTTATTATGTTAACTGTAGAAGGGATATGAGCATATCAGCAAGATATACCTTTAGATAAATGAATAGTGGCACCTCTGCAAGTGGGAATCCCTCGTTAATCGATTGGAGTTGATGTGTTTTGTGTGTTGTTGGCTACCCGGTGGCATCCGCATTTTTAATCGGAGTGAAAAAAGCTCGAGAGTTTTATTAAGCTGTCAGAGTCACACCAGAGTCCCCAAAAGTAGCGCACACTCTAATTTAGATTATACAGCCATACCAGCGACTTACATCGATATTCATTCTCAATTGAAACGGTAAGAATTATATTATATTACTGTCATCACCGCGTGACCCATTCACGTCCACAGACGAATTGAATACAGTGTATTCGGTGTACCTACCATGGTGTCAGTGTTCGGGAGTACGTGTCACTGCGTTCTTTTGTTATGATATCACACGCACTCTCCGAATCATTTTGCATATATTGCTTAACCGAGAAGTGGGATGAACACAGTATCGTACAATTACGGTACTCGAGTCAACTGGTCAACTCCACAACGACCAGTCACTACAAATCGCCAGATAGCTGCCATATCTACAAAATTCTGCCACACTAGCCCTCCACGACATCTGTCTATTTGGAGTCATAACTATCCAATCAGCAACTTACGTCCACAGCGGTCCATTCTGCGCACTCATGCCGCAAACTGGTCGAGTACCTCATTCATGGCTCAAGACCTGCTCCATCCTGTGAAGCTGAGATAGTTTTCGAGGCTATTTGTCGATGCCTTCATCCCTCATTCCTCTATCGTAAATCACAACAGTGAAGACACATCACGGATAGCGGACCGCACTATCCGCTAGGTCTTGGACGAAGCGCTCGAGCCATACACCGACCCCGGAGATCGCACTCATGGTCGTTGCCCGTGATAGAATTATGTTACTGTCAAAATCAGGGAAGCGGGTAGCATGCTACCTTTCCTGATTGTCACAGTCGTCCAGCTCTTGAAACTCAAACATCGCTTCGGTCACAAACTGACGTGTTCGGTTTATCTCCATCATTGTGAGGTTTGTCAACCGCACCATGATTGAATCCGCCTGCACAAGAATCAAGTTAACTTCAACTTTAATAGAATTATAGTGAGGATGATAACCGTCATGTTCACGCTGAACAAAGCACAATGTGACAGAAGAAGAGCAATGCGTTGATTTTATATCCGTTAAAACCATATCACATTTGGTATCTGAAAATAAAGGGCGGAGGTGCGAATTAAAACAGAAGTCTCACATCGAAATTGACCCCGAATTCCAAACACTTAACTGTTTAAACGAGGGGTGCGGGTCCTCTAATTGAAGCTTATATATATATATATACATACATACATATATATATATATATACATACATATATATATATATATATATATATATATTTAGAAACACGCGAACGTTCTACATATTGCACAAGTTCTGAGCACGGGTGACGGTTGAGATATGAGCTTGTGCGGCAATGAACAGACAAATTAACGTACGAATCACTTGCTACGCATGTCTTTACATATCCATAGATGAACAAATAGTGAGCGCTCGAATCGTATAGCTGTTGGACTAGTATAAATGTGATGTAATTCCACTCCACAAAACTTTGAAGTGTTGTCACAATTTTATTAAAACAAGAAGCTGCATAGGGAACGCTTGTGCAACTATCTCAAGTTATAATAGACAGGTACGCATATTTATTCATAGATACACATGCGAATTACAGTAGCAAATGGTGAGGTCCATTTTCCACTTTTTAATAGTATTAATGCTCAATCTCAAAGACAGGCTTACATTCCAACTTCATCGATGTACAACAAGTTCAACCACACCAGTGCACTGACACTCGCATGTGTGTGCTAAAGATAACGAAAAAAGCTGATAACATATATGAACAACTAACACGATACATGTTTTAACCACGTGAAAGAGAATAAATAGTGATTAAAACCCACCCAACAGACTGCCAACAACCGACATCCAGCCTGATGTTCTGGGGATACTAGCTTAAAGCAAAGGAGCATTTAAAATACATAAAAATCATACCTCCAAGTGATGTAACTGCTTCTTGATCTTCGCAAATCTAGCGTCCCAAATTGTGTTGAGTAACAGGCGCACCTCGCTCGGGCTTTGTATATCATCGGCAGCATTGCACAGTAGTGCCATACTCTGAATAATGGGTGATGCATATGCGAATCGTTAGAACGTATCTGGAAACATACTCTCAGTGGAAAGATGGTTTTATTCCATCTTAGATCTATATACATGTTGATCACATCTATTTGGCAGGCACCTCACCTTTAACCTCTAAAGCGCTCTTATGTCCTCACCATATAAAATACATCGCTAGTTGATTGGTTGCGTCAAGATCTCCGAATCCCCACAACATATATAAACTACACAAATCTACCAAAATTGTGAACAGCCATATACAAAACCGTATACGACAATGAAGAATAGTATGGGACAGGCAGCACCTTGCAATCCTACATATGCATCAGATACGACACTTAAAAACATTACTCAATCTACATATTTAGATAAACGCACACACATATATAGCACTCTCCCATACCACTTCCAAGTAGGCAGGATGCATTTTCTCCCAACTAGTTTCGTTTTCTAATTCCCGTTGACTGGCAAGCTTCAAATTCTGGAATGAAATGAGTGTTAGTTAGTGACGCGGAAATCGTCTTAGGTGCTGAGATTATGACGCCAGCGGATGGTTGGGAAGGCTCGAGATCATACTCAAGATATAAACTTGTGAAAAAAAATGAAGATGGATCCCCAATTGGGTTTATTTACACGGGAGAGGTCATACTCTGATATCTGTCAAACATCCCGCATGCTAATTCACGATCAACTCACTTTGCCACTTTAGTACAGCTTGCTTGGGATTGTGACTACAAATGAGTGACAGAAGTCTTCGCACAATCTCCGTTTGCTACAATATTCATATTTATATAAGTAGGTCCAAACCCATTTACGCTCCTAGGCATACGTTCCTTCAGCTGATGTATAGCAGGCAGTGCCCAATTAAACACTCAGATCCGATTTTTAAAAACTCTTACATTCGATTCGATTGCACCCAATATCTTGTAAACAAACTCAAAATCTGTATGTAGAGTGTTCATACTTCACACATCTGCTACACTATCAAAAAGTCAACTACTACTCCCTATTATATATAGTAAAGTATGACTTGATCGTTCATAAAGCTACAGGGCAAGTATGCGTTTGGATGAGTGCTCGTGTGTGGGATCATAAACGAACGGAAATCCAGAGAAATGCACTGAGAATACAGCACATCTAAGCCGTACTTATGTGGCGACTTCAGATAGGTTGTAGCAAGTTAGCACACACAATTATTTGAATACCATACCTCAACAGTCATCCAACTAGGGCAGACGATTTGACAACGTTTACTGCTCTTGAGCTCAAGAGCCAACCATAGTGGCACTTGAGTTGTTCTTTGCGGCTGGAATGGACCTGCAACATAAAATCATTTTGCGGCTGAGGTTGAGAATTTCAAGTGTACAACCAGTTCAATGAGAAGGCTTCACACCACGACGATAGACTGACAACATAACTTTTATCAATGGAAACAAAAGCTAAATTATTGTAAGGAAAAGTTCATATATTGGGATACTCGAATGGGTGCAGATAACTACGATAGACATGACGATCAAACAATACGCAGTTGTGTAATTGAAATATACTCAGCCTCTGCAGATCCCACAGAAAAGCTCAAAACAAGGTTAAGTCAGTTGTCGATTACTATGAAGTAATGGTAGTTATAAGATTTTTGCTTGAGCCTAAAGCGTCGATACTAATAATCACTGTCTGTGATTGAGAAGCGGACCAAGAGTTATGCGTGTTGTCAATTATTAGACACCCTGAGCAATACAATAGCGAGACCCAGCGAGCTAGATTAGAAGAAACCATCCGACTCTCGCACAATATAGGTTCTGATTAACACTACGCCTGTCGAAAAAAGGATCACAACGTCGTTTAAACGGATGGGTCAATAATGTACAAGTAAGAGTTGTTTCACACACTCTCACCTCAGCTGTATACGGGCAAAGAATGCCGCCTACCTATTTTGCGTGACTCGCAAAAACATACCGTATGACTTTGTGATCAAGTGAAGACCTTCCAATTTGAAACTCGGAATTATATCTAGTATGGCATTTTCGGCTACGAAGTTAACTTCCGCGGCCGTGTGACGTGAAGGATCCATTCTAAATGCTCGACGCTATAGTATTTGTAAAGAATATCCACGCAACGCTTACGTATGGTGTGTGTGTATTTGACTATTCCCGTAAAATAGTAATGTGAACCGGTCTAAAGTGATAAATTTCCCCGGCATACAATACAGACTGCGAGAGTATCTTGATTGGTGTTGTGTTACATACATTAATACGCAGGGGGTATACTATTACAATGCTTACGTCTCTTATAGTCTTTTTACTTGCGTGTGCTACTTAATACTTTTCAGAAGGCTATGACTGTAGTCTGTATGACAAGAGCGCCATTCTGTGAGCCCAGGTTTATGGTTTCTCTTCTCTTCTTGTAATAGCCAACCATTTGAAAACCCAACAACCCTCCTCATTTTTTGATGTTCACTTTTATATATATAAAAAATAAAAAATAAACAGGTACTGTACTTGTATTTATTTATAATATGTGCACTAAGTACATAGTGCATATTTACACGCATTCAATTTATGCACTTGAACGAGATATGCATCGAAGAATCAGTGTTATCTGCGGTTTCTCGTACAAGAATCTTACACTAGTTGTAAATATCAACACTCCAATCGGAAAATGGAAGCACTCTGATTTGAGGGCTCAGCGTCCAAGATGTTCGAATAGATGGCGACAGTGGTGAAGATGCGTCTATTCTCATTGTTTTGCCACTTAGTCGCTATATGTAAACCCTTTATTTCCCTCCAGTGCATTTAAAAATTTGAGGCATGTGGCATCGTGTATGTACAGTTTTCAGTTACTGCATTGAACAGACTTTACGATAGGCGGCATTATGGGATTTCAGGTTTTACCATATCCTTTTCTTACTACAGCGCAGCCACTCCACGGCTATATGAGCTGCCACCGGAGCGACTGTTTTCTCAAGGGAGCCTAGTTTTAATAGAGGTTTCTCTCTCAAGGAAAATGCAAATGCGTCGTCGTGCTCATGTTTTTGACGGGAAAGGGTGTACACCCTTTTATACAAAATCGATTAATGATCAGAACTAGTAGCACTCCATACAATTTAGTTGAACATATCCTACCCTTACGAAGCGCCATAGTCTTTTTCTTATCAAACCGTATATGAGATGGATTTTCTCGGTTTGGCCTTCTTTGGAAATTTACGCGCTCACAAAGTGATTCGAGTCGATGTAAACACTTGATCGGGCAATCACTGCATAGCATCGTAATATATTAAATGAGAATATCAACTGTAGTTAGCTTCAGGATAAGTTAAACCCTTCGTCCGCTCGAAAAACACGACTCAGTTAGTTATACAACGTTCATTTTTGTTACGAAATTCCGTGAAGCGTATAAAACACCACTATTTTAGGCACAATATAAATACACATGCAAAGTAAATTGACTACACATGACGAATGTTACAACTTGAGGTAGTGTAACCTAACCTATGCCATAAGCTGCCAATCAATAGTTTTGTGGTATCCCATAGGTATGATTTATTCGAATATGATGGGTGTCTTACTCAGGCAATATGACGAATAAACTGTGAGAGTGGAATTCTTTCGCATGCTGCAAATATAATCTAATTTGTCGCTAAAGCGTTAGTCAAATAACCATTTAGAGAGTATATTAATCTTTCGATCAACTTCAAACAATCGTTCGTACACACTCTCTGACCATATATATTCTATTACCACCCTTGGGTGTATGTGCAAGTTTAAACTCCTATTTTACCGCTTCCGTAAACGCGCCGCCTTGCAGGATTTTAAGGTAAGATAATACAATTAAAGAACAGCCAGTGTTCGTACAGCAGTATGGGCGACTCTTACGCAATTTCAGCAAGGAAGCCGAGGAAGGATGTTTTCATGACTTCAGCTAAAACGAGGGAGCCGCCGTTTGTGATGATTCCTGGTTGGCTCCATGTTTCAATATCATTTGCAATCATGCTTTACTGCGACATTTGTCAGCTCTATCTCATATTTAGTAGAATAGTATTCACAGTGTTGGACAATGTCTTTCACACGGCCACAAGATGCACACCTTTTATTTTGTATGAGGAAATAAACATACTTGGCAAGTCAGAGAACGCATTTCTTGGGACATACGGATATCCTACAGTCGTACATATGTATGATTAGTACGGCTGTACGACTGTGCGATTCTGTACGTCTTTTTTCAGTTCATTCCAATTTCTAAATCGAGAAAGCTGCCACAGTGCCAGCCTGTTACCAACGCAACAGATCGACAAATGGGCTTGCACACAGTGTCTGTTACATACTCTTTGATTTCCAAAAAAAAGAAGGTATGAGTCACACTGCACAGATGACCGACTCAGAGTGGTCCTATTTGTTTTTTTTTCAAAAAGAAAAAACATAATACTATATGTATGTAATAGGTACAGCCTCTCCCTCTCGACATACTCACAAGACGAGATTGCACAATGTATGTAAATATTTAATATTTAGTGAGTCAGTTCAACTTTTGAGTTCATGAAGGTCGAAGGATAACTAGAAAAACGCATGAATCCATATCTACATGTGTAGAAGTATGATTCAAAGTGGCAAGCCGTCGTAGCGGATAGCCGTCTCGTACACGCTTCGTAATTTAATATTCTTATAAAAGACGACCACGTGCATCTATTAATCGACGGTACCATTCATAGAGAACTGCAATACTCATGCTTGACGGATTAAGTGTAGCTTGAAACTAAAAATAGTAACAGCACGCAGCTCTTCCACTCCTGTTGAACAACAGTTGTCCGCTGCGAATAGGGGCATATGTAGCTCATACGTACGCTGTATAGTATGATAGAATGACAAGCCGGGGAAGTAAGATGGATTTCAGGCGTTCACGTTCAATGCCGCTCTCAGGAGGGCGGATATTATTAGTTTGTATATTCTGCTCACTGATTGGTAGCTCGCTGACAACATTCCTCTATCTGAATAGTCTGTCGACAGACCAGATTGGGGTGCCATCAGCTTCTACAGACTTTATAGAGAGGCAAAGTAGTGCGCGCAGAGCTGAGATAAATGCTGGATATGAGGTAGGTTTATTGCACACGCTGGCATATGCATGTGAAAGCTTCAACGCACTAACACGCGCTAACGTACGTATAAATAAAGAAAGGTATATGTATCGTACATCTGAACACGTTTATAGTTACACATGTTCACGTTCACACCAGTATATACACATAATTGTATATATATTCTAGTATACCTGTAAGTCATGAAAAAATTTCTCAACCACACACACACACATGCACACATGCACACACCCTCACACACATGCACCCACACAGACACAGACACATACACACACACACACACACACACACACACATACACACACACACGCACACTACACACACACTACACACACACACTAAATATATATATATATATATATATATATATA